CGATTGCATTATTTATGGAAATAATAACTGAAAAGAGCTGATGATTTGAAAGGGAATCTGTACTTCAAGGCCCAGCGTGATCAGTGAACCAGGTGCATCTGTGTTAACTTAATCGCGCGTGACATAAACCATAGCGTAGCCTCCAGGGACATGCCCATTTCGAACGCATCAAAGCGGTCAGTATGAGTTCAGAGTTATCATGCAGAGGGTCATCGACCTTCAATGTGTTGGTTAAGCGACAGTATCAAGCCGACTATTTTATATGGCTTAAGTCGATGCGTCATGCTTCGATTACGACTACACGTAATCATAAGTACAAATTGAAACGTCGAGCATTTATAATGTAGTCAAGGTTTGCTTGTCGATGCCGTTTAACCCGTACCTCCTGGCATACTGGAGGTCGATAACTATCGGCATAAAAACTCTGAACTCACACTGCCGAAAAACCAGGAGGTCGAGGCCTTTGTTGCTTATATCATGTAGTGATCGACATCTAATTGTTGGGATCTGTTCAGCTCACAAGCGGCATTTATCAATAGACGTTTTGCTCGTCGTTTGAGCTTATGTCGTAAAGATCAAATAGTCGGCCATTGCTTTCTAATTTCCACCACTCTCCGCGAGCATGGGTTATCGGTTCCCCGCGGGGGTCCAACGGCAAGATGAACGAGTGTGATAGCGAAACTCTTAGCGCACTTCCCACGCTCATTTCGTTCGCACCATTGGGCACTGCGTCAGATGTACGTTTAGGATGGATGGCGAGATATAGAGCAGTTCTGCGCTTTTGGTCATCACCAGTCTCATCAAACTTGTGTGGTTTGTCTACGGCATTTCTATATCAGGAACTTGCAGTTGTGCAATTGCCCCGTCCATCCCGACAGGCGTGGAGAAGGGTGGACACACGCGACAGCAACGCCGTCAAAGATGTGCAAGGGGTCCCAGGTCGAAAACAAGTCAGCTCCATGTGAGTACTTTTGTGGCGATCCACGATCCACTGATTTGGTTGTTGGTCCGAAGACCAAATTCTCCTGCAATAGGAAGTTGTTTTGCTGTTTGAAGTGCTTTCCAGCAGATGTTCTCGCGGTTTGGGCACCAACAGCCGTCAGGGTATCTCTAGAAATCCAAAACTGCATATATGGGAGCATCCACATCGAGGACGACGGAAACGAGGCGAGAAAAGTGTCATTCCTGTTATCTTGCCACACACCCCACAGCCCTGGAAAAACCCGCACCAAAATGGTCACCGTACCATCGTCATGGACCTTGAAAAGAGGTGATCAATGGCAAATCATGTCAGTGCTCCGAGAGAAGATTCATGGAGTCCCAAAATTCGCAGCTGGGTGGTCTTTCCATCATTTTGTCAATGAAAGCACACCATTTGGCAATGCATGCACTCGCAACCAAAGCATGCATCCGTCGTGGTCAACTGAAGTACACATGCGGTCCTACCCATGCGGCTGGTAACGCCCAACCGGATATCGGGGGGGGGGGGGGGGGGCGTGGAGAAGCCGGGCGGCGCTCCGACTCCTCCCTCGCACGCCCCGCCCCGCTCGTCCGTATATAACGCGAGGTCGCGGTCTGGACGACACACACTCATCCGTCGTCCGCTCTCAATCGCCATCATGCTCAAGCTGGTGAGTGAGATACAGGGCGTGACCGCCACCAGAAGCGGGGACGGATAGGGCGGCATTTCGTGAAGAGACGAGATCCGTTTAAGCAGGCAAATTTTCAATAGAGTGCTACTTGCATTTAATCCAGCACAAATAGAATACATTTGGGAGTTTGAGTACCTTATCATTAAGCCATGGTTTTATGCAGCCTCCCCCCCCCCCCTTGACTCTCCTCACTTGAACCAATGGATATCTGTCATCTGTATTGAGCTGTTCCCAAGGACCAGCAATACTCTTGGGGGTGATAAGCATGTAACTAGAAAAAAAAACAAGCAGATATGCTAGCGTCTACATAACACAAGGGAGTGTGACACCCATGTTCACTGTGTGTACTATTCTCAGGTCCTGTTCGTCTGCCTTCTGGTGTGCAGCTGCTCTGCCCTGCTGCCCCTGGGACTCGGCTACTCGGGCTACGCCGCTCCTCTGGCCTACAACGCCGCCCCCCTGGCCTACAACGCCGCCCCTCTGGCGTACGGCGGCGCCTTCCCCACCTACCAGACCGTCAGCCACAGCGTCGACATCGCCGCCGAGCCGGTGGAACAGCACGGCTACGTTGTCAAGTACTAGGCGGATCTCACCACCTCTGCTCTACCTCTTTCCGTTGAAAAATCATCATCGGTCCGCGTGCTCAGATCAACCTTTACGACTTCAGGCTAAATTCGCCTGCCTCTGAAAAATACCCGGTCTGGACCCGTGAACATCATCGGTGCACATCCTGGCGTTCTGCGTGACAATTTCCGGACTTTTGATTTATCTCATTGAGTCGGAACTAGTAGAAGTATCAGCGCCGCATAAGGCGAGTGAACTCGGCAGTTTCGTATTTCATCATTGCTCATTACGTCAGATGTGATTGTGTGTTTTCATAAATAAACCGTATTAAGGAAAACGGATGAGCAGCAGCAAGCACGAGGGAAGCAACGGCAGCACATTTGAAGATGTGGATGCGAGGTCTTACATGAACCGAGGATTTTGACCATTTGATTAGACATGTCTAGCTGCAGACGGAAACTGAAGGTGGAAAGACGACAAGGAAGCAAAGGAAAAACTCTGGATGTGTCGTCCCCACGGTCTCTTCAGGCGGACAGAGGAGAAGAAGGGTTTGCAAGATGGAAGATGCCTCAACACAACAGCTGGTGTCTGTGTTGCTGCGCTGGCATCTTTCACTATTGCTGTCCTTTCTGCCCTTCCTCGCACTGAAAATGGCATCCGGCCGAAAATTCGTGGTCTTTTCCTCTCAAACACAGTGAATCGTGACAACACAGAACCGTCCCTACCGGTGGTTAGAGCGTTAGGGAAGCTGTCATCCGATCCACCCACTCGTGGTGGGGCAGGTTCGAATCGCTTCAGGCGCTCACTATCTGCTCCTAACAGACATGGCCTGTGGCCGGTTGCGGCGGCGGCGCTGATGGCCAGGTAACGTCAGAGGGCAGGACGGACTGTGCCGACCACTGCGTCAATGCATTAAAGGGAATGCTAGACATTTGTATGGTGTTTTGAACTCAAATAATCATCTTGAAGATCATCCGGTGCAGCTCACAGCCCTGCCCTTCTTAATACCTAACACACCTCTAGGTTCTAAGGTCCACATCCGCGAAGATGGCAGACTTTTCGGGGTGAATGTTTGAAGGTCACTCAGGTATTCATGACGTCAAAACAACGCTATTAAAATCCCGCCATTCCATTACCCACGCGACGATTAATGACAAAAAAAGTTGTCGAGTCGTTCATATCTGGCATTTGGAAGCAGTATTTCCAGACATCACGGCCGTCAAATGGCTTTCAATCAGTGTTGTGCAGGGCGTGATTACGCAATCGAACAATAACATACTGAAAAGCAGATTTACTAACAGAGAAATTGTGTCGTCTGAAGTCTTTTCCACTACCAATGATTCGTACAAATACTTCGTTCCAACCAATGCAATACAATGGTTTGTACTGTTCGTACCAATAGGGCCAAAGTGTACTTGAGCACAAGTAGTACCAAAATGACCTTATTTCATCAGATTTGAGGCTTGCTTCAAAATCGTCAAATGTAGAACATTCCCTTTAAACTTTCGCCACCAAATTCTGCCGCTGGCCTGGAATTGGGCGATCGGATAGTAGAGGTCCGCGCTTACATAACAGCCACAGCTTGGTGTGGGATCTAAACACGTCTGTACACAAGACTTCTTCAGAATACTGAGCAAAATTCGCGAAAATGTTCTCATCTGCTTAAGGTCATTGATGCGACTCTTGGATATTTTATGACGCTTTAGACTGCCATAAGGGAAAAGATGAGCAGTATCAAACCTTATTAATGTTTCTTTTCGGTGCGTAAAACGACCCCTTTTTGGATGTCTTAACTAGCTTCTCGCTGGCATTATTAGACTAATTTATTTGCTGCCAAACTTGGCGCGCACGAAAGATAGGACAAAGAGGAGCAAAACCCATGTTTTTCATCAGTTGGCTCTTCATGGCTGTAAAGGATTTCTCCATAGAAGTTTTCGTCTCATTAGCATGCACCTATTTGTCACTGCACGTTTGCAGCTCTTTGCGGATTCGGCCAGGGACCAAACGCGCGTCACATCACTATTGGGTTCATAATAATGAAACAAGCCCGGTTCCTGTGTAAACTTTATTGCCTGCTTTGATAGATCCGACGACAAACGATGCGGTTTGATACTCCTCATTTTGCTACTCCTCACCCTCATTTCCGCCCTCATTTCATCTAACTCTGAGCTTAGCCTAAGTGATTTAATTGGCCGACTAACTGTTGCTCCCATAGGAATGCTGATATTGACTAACTCGCAAAGGAGTGCACGTGATGCAAAGGCCAATGCTTCAAGTTGCAGGGGCGGAGCCTGGTGTGCACATATCGCGGACTACGTACTCGCTCCGCCCGCCCAGGAGGCCTACGATATTGTAGGCGGATGGACTTATGACCTCTGATCTGTTATGAGCCAGACCACGGGAATATATCTTGCAAAGCATGAGCCATACTTTGTTTTGACTACAACTATTCATTGGCAAAAGTTTGAGAATTCGATCTGATTCATCCGACCAATTGCAAACGCAGTCCAATGACCAACTCGGCTTTTTAATCAATTTCAAGGCTGTTGCGATCAAATCTATTACATCGTATCCACTACGTTACAAAGCACCTTGTCACAAAAAGTCACATGCATCACGGTTTGGGTACGGCAGCTTCAAGGTTGGCGCTCACATCTTTACTAATTGTTTGGATCCACTACACTTTATCCATTTCTCATGGTCACCAACACTAACCCGTGCATTTTGAGCCAAGTTTGAATCCTTCTAGCCAAACCGATAGATTTACTACATATCTAAAGAGCTTTAGATCCGCCCACCGGCGGCGTCCAGGCCCCAGAAGTCGGCCGGCTGGTGGCCGAACGCTGGGGCGTCGCCATGTGGTGATATTGCCCAAGAGCTTGCAGACACTGGGGCGTCACCAGGTGGTGGTCACAGGCGGTGATGTTTTCCCAGAGAGCGCAGCCGCTGGGGCGTCACCAAGTGGTAATCTTGTCCCAGAGATCGCGCACGCTGAGCGGCCGAGCCGCCAGCCGTCGCTCCGGATGCAGGGCCGCCTCCAGCGCCGCGTCGAACACGGCCGCCACGCCGGCGCCCGTCACCGTGCTGCACTCGCGGTAGTCGGCGGCGCCGAGCCGGGCGGCGACGCGCCGGCCCCGCTCCGTCGGCACGGCCTCGCCGCGGCCGGCGGCGCTCGCCTGGATGGCGTCGCGCGCCTCGGCCTTGGTGCCGACCAGCAGGAACGGCGCGCGCGAAGCGTACTGCTCCAGCTCGACGCGCCAGTCGGCCTCGAGACGCGGCCAGGCGGCCGGCTCAGTTAGGTCAGCACACAGCACCACTACGCCGGCGTCCCGGTAGGCAGAGTAGGCGGTGAGGCGCGAGCGCAGCTGCGCCGTGCCACCGGCCGTGTCCACCAGCTGCAGGTCATACGCTGTGTTCATGTGGTACAGCGTCACGTGCACCATCTGGGGCAGGCTGCAGAGGCTCTCTGGCGGCAGCGATGGTCGCCGACCGTCGGCGAACGTGTGGAGTAGCGACGTCCTTTTCCGGCCCGGTCGTCGCCCACCAGGACACATTTGATGGTGGCATCACCTGACATGCTCGACGGCTCGATTCCAGTGAGGCAAGGTTGAACTTTGTGAACGGTGGAACGCCGTGAGCGTGGGAAGTGGGTTCTTCCTTCCCTCCAAGAGCCGAGATCCAAGCTTTCAAGTCACGAGAAGTCCTTCCAGCCCAAGAAACTCACCACTCACTTTCGACTCACCAGAAAAGACCCACACCACCTGTCGCCCTCGGCGGCCGCTCTCCTCGGTGAACGGACCGGTTCCTGGTTTACGCGTCGCTGCAGTGGGCGTCTCCGGCTACTCGGGACGCCGCGTCGGCGGGAGTCGGCGGACTGCGGCGCCGTCCGGGACGTCGCGGTCCAACGCGTCTGGTTGCGGGAAGTCGGGCGATAAGCCGGGCAGTTCGCTGGCTGCTGATGACGTCAGCAGACCGTCGGCACGACCGCCGGCCCGACTACGGCGGCTGCTGGCCGCGGCGGAGCCAGCGCCGTGTCGAAGGGTGATGAGTGCACACCCATCACCCCCATCCTCCCAAATCAGAACAATTAAAACGACTCTTCTGAACCGAATGCCTCTACTTCTTTTCGTCGTTTTATTTCGAGGCTTTCTAAAGTAAGGGACTGTTGACCAGAACACCGGGTCTCCAAAGGTTTTGCCTCATCGCCCCCTGACTACTTCACTGCCTGCAACGGTGCAAGGCAGCCAGATTCCAGAAGCCGGCTGATATGTGGCTCCGGAAGCGGGTGTGCTTATTGAGGCGTAATGAACACCCAACATCTTCTGCAGGACCTTTCCACGCCATTTCCAACTTAGTCTTCTTGGCGGCAATGACAAAAAAAACCTGGTGCACCCTGTGCAGCTGACACGCAATGTTCCTTCAACGAGCAGAGATAAAATATATTGAGGATTGCCTTATTCATTTGGTGTTATTCCCGCACAAATTATTTTTGTCCAACTGTGTTCCATACGTGATTTTCTATTTCACAAAGAGCGCACTGTTTCTCACAATTTAATGCGATCGAACACCAACATACGACATTCTGGCACGCGTAACACATCACTTACGTCGGGACAAGGGCTTCATTGAATTTATTGGGGTCACAGGACGGAGACCACATTTTCCAGAATACTCTGGTGGTTGTTTTCAGTTTTTCATGCCTTTGACGGCTTGTTGGGAGACTTTGGGTTCACATATGGGGACGCAAGACACATATGAGAGGGTGGAGCAGTGTCATTCCGAAGATCTAGACCTTTGGACGTAACTTGGACTAACCACCAAGGATATCACAGTACTTTTAACCGGTAATTTCACTCCGTTGGATGTCAGCCGCGGCCATATGCCTAGCGGCCACAGTGGCGTCGTGTGGTGGTCATGAGTAAAAAGCGGCGTTATGCCATATTGTAGTGAATTAGCACGATCGGGCACAGTTTGCGGATTTACCCTATGCCAAATATTACTCCTTGGCTTCACGTGTTTTCCACTACGCAATGTTATGCGGTAATAAATTTAGTTTATCATTTAGTGTATCATAACAAAGGATGGACATCAGCTTAGCTGCACAACATAAACATCGAATCACATAAAAATCACAGCATATTGGGAAAATACCGTTTACCATCGGACGGGACTAATCACGCGAAGTCGACTCATGCATAAAAAACCGGTGTTCACGCAACTTTTGGTTCGGAAAATTGCAGCTGGAAACAATACAGCTGCACTTTGCATGTACAACACCGGTAATTGCATTATGGAGGTATAAAAATTGCGCTAGAAGTTATGAATGTTGGCTACTTTTTATATGTTTGCGGCGTTACTTTTCTCTAAAATATTCTGCTGTACCTACGCTTGTGCCCATATGTCTCTAAGAGCTGCAAACTTAACTCCAGCACCAGGTGTAAATTGGAAAGCTGGCGACCCTTTCGCACAAGAAAATCCCCACTTTCACAGCGCGAGCTTCTTTACTTCCCGGGCACCTCTCGAAACAGGCGAATTGCATGACATCTGCTCCTCAAGTGTATCGAAATAGAGTTCGTGAAAAAAACATCAGGAACTCGCATGTTCGCTCTATAGCATGGAGGCATATCACCTAATGGATGAGCTGCAATCACCACAATGATCGAAGTTCGGCCAACGGTAATCGTATGGTCAGTTCGTTGGATGGATTGGAGGTAAATTTGGAGTTTGAGCAAGGCGGTAGCAGGGATGACTATTTGGAACTTTTTCGCTCTTCTTACTTGGTGTGGATGAAGATCATGGAAAAGGTAATTTTTGAACAAAACAAACACACACACACGCACCCACACATTATGATGTGCGTGCGGGCGTGCGTGCGGGCGTGCGTGCGTGCGTGCTGCGTGCGTGTGTTTATCGACCCATATTAGTGGATAGACGGTAAACACATCGTGAGAAGGGGGGAGATCCCACAGAGATGCAAAGCTCCATCCATCCAGCGAACGTCACTTTCGTTTGCGTTTGTCTCTCCCTGCACTGGTGGCCGGGCGGGCGGGTACACTCGCTGGCCGTCACGGCTCAGTGGGGCCGCAGTCAGTGGCGCTGCAGCTCGGGCCGGCCCAGGTCAGCGGCCGTCGGGGATCAGTCGGACCAGGTCAGCGGCGGTCGCGGCTCAGTCGCACCAGGTCAGCGGCAGTCGGGGATCAGTCGCACCAGGGTCAGCGGCGGTCGCGGCTTAGTCGCACCAGGTCAGCGGCTGCCGCGGCTGAATTTGACCAGGTCAGCGGCGGCCGCGCCTCAGTCGCACCAGGTCAGCGGCTGCCGCGGCTCAATTTGACCAGGTCAGCGGCGGCCGTAGCTCGGGCAGCTGGGTGATAAAGCGGGCGTGGCTGCCGTGGGCCGAGTCCGGCTGCGACGCCAGCTGACCGGCGAACAGCGTCAGGCCAGAGACGCGCTCCACATCCCGCAGCGTCGCCTCGTGGAAGTTCACGTACTTGCCCGCCGCCTGCCGGCAGACCGACGACCAGTGGCGGACACGCCCCACAGCGAGGCGCACGACAACTTTCGGAGCTGGTGGTGTCCACGACCAGGTCGGTACTACACCCAAAATGCCCTATCGCACAGCCGATAATTTCTTAAAAGGTTATTATGTATAATTATTGTTTATAATTTCTTAACATATGAGATAATTTCTGAATAAAAGGGAAGTAAACATAGCGTGCCGCCGGCGGTATTCCCACCAGGTTGCAATGATAACCCCGTCCTAGCCGGTGGTAGTAATGCAAGAAATTGTAAAAACAAACTACAATCAGAAGGCTTATAACGAGTAGCTTTTGAAGCGTGACGACAAAATGGACAACCCGGTTTCAAGAGACGGCATGCAGCTTTGTTTCTGTTCAGTATTGCTCTGTTCTACAAAACGAAATCGCTTTCACTTTTCTGGCTATGGCTTGCTTCACAAATATGAGCTTACCCTCCGTACGCAAAAATATCAATGTCCCTTCTCATCACCAACCCCGTGATAAATTTCGTTGACTAATGTCAACAAGTTTCGGCCTGCACAGTACTTCTGCAACTCAACAAATTAATCAAACAAACTAACGCAAATAATAGAAAGAAAGCAGCATCACCTTTAGAGACAACAAACCAGAAAAAAATTAACTGGACCCTGTAGCCTCCGATGTTGGAGCCGTGGTCAAAGCCGAGGCTGTCTGTATGACCTGGCGGGTTCTCGGTTCACCGATTGCCGACCGGCGGCGGTCAGTCCGGGCTGCCGAGCCTGTCTGTATGACCCTGGCGGGTTCTCGGTTCACCAAGTGCCGACCGGCGACGGTCAGTCCGGGCTGGCGTTTGCCACATGACATCACATCCCAGCGCCCACCTCGCACGGCCGGAAGCGCTCCTTGTGCGGCAGGATCCACTGCTTGTGGACAATCTCTTCCGGGCGGCAGCCGCGGCCCCCCGCACATCCGCAGCTGGTAGAAGAAGTGGGATGGAATCGGCTGCCCCGAATCTGCAGCATGGTGGGCGTATCAGGTGGGCATCACGTGCGGAGTTGTACAGACGAGGACCTGAGTGACGGTGTGAGGACCGTTCTGAACAAAGCCGACACTGGTATCGTGGCGGCTACGGCGAAACACTTCATACAGCGCCCATAAAGTGTTGAGACTCCAGCATTCATGCATCAAGAGTCCAAGAAGAGCATCAGAGACATCAAAAACATCAAGAATCCCAGAGCAGCATCGAAGGCTCCGATGCATACGGGCGGTTCTTCACGCAAAAAGTCACGTAAACCGCCTCATGAACCAGCCCGCTCGCATTCCATTGCGACTGCACGCGTCGGATTCATTGCTTTAAGCGCTAAGCATGTGGTAAGAGAGTGCACTAAAGGAACACATCACCGCCTTTTTACACACAACACACCACCATAGGCGGAGGAACATCTCAGACCACGGAGGTCCGAATACCAATCTTGAACCGCCCCTTTCAATACGTCGCCGTATTGTCAATAGCCGGGAAGTGGGGTGCTCTGGCCCTCACGCTTACCTTTCCCCGTCCCTACGCCTCTGTACATGGTGGTTTACGATGCGGGCAAATAGCTCGATGTTAGGCGGGAGGCTATCATTTACGGGATACTGCAGATACCTACAGATACAGGATAGGTCATCGGGTAGATCATTACCTACTTCCTTATCACAATCAAATTGAAACACGATGTTGCTGACCGCAGAACGGCAGTCCCAGTAAGTACTCATTGAATGTTATCACATTCAGCGATTCTCATGGCTCCTGGATAGCTTCGCCCTTTCACCACAGACGTGCAAGGATTTCCAAATAGGAGCCAGGGGAAAAGCTTGCCTAGTTTGATGGATAACACAGCATGGAACCCAAAATCGGTGTACTGTGTAAGCTACTCAGTCCACCCAGGCGGCCGCTCCAGCCGCGGTCAGCGGTGCTTCGACGCAGTGGGGCGGGACCCTCACCTGTCGAGAGCCCTCCGAGCGGTTACACGGGCCCGGCCAGCACGGCCACCAGTCCGTACCGCCGCGAGTACGTCTCCAGCCGGCGCAGCAGCTCGGAAGCACAACGCTCTTGGTACGCTGGGTACATGGGGTACATGCTGGCAGCAGTCGCGCCGCCCCAGGTACGAGTCGGTGCCTGAAGCAGACGAGAGACGGCGCTAAAAACAAACTACGTGCGAGACCGATTCCCACCAGTTACGGAACCGATATTACAGCACGTCGCAGGCTGCAGTTACTCATAATGAGCACAATCTTTGCCGAGTGATGGCCCCCCCGTTAGAGCGTCAGCCGTGATGGGGCCGGGTTTAGATCCGCGCCTCGCCGCTCACCGCCCGTATGGGGCCGGGCTTCTGTAGGCGGATCTGTGCGAGTGATGCCTCCCGTTAGCATCGTCAGCATGATGGGCCGGGTTTAGATCCGCATTTCGCCGCTCACCGCCCGGGTGGACCAGGCTTCTGTATGCGGAGTCAACTGAGCAGCCTTGCACGGGTCCCGGCCGGCCGCTGCTCTGGAACAGACACTGGCTGTCGGCGGCCGGCAGCGGCGGCATTGTCAGGCTGCCGTTGCTGTCCCGCTCCAGGTAGTACTGCAGCCAGCGGTACGACCGCGACGGCTTCGGCGACGGCTCTGGGGGCGGGGCAGTCGGACTTCAGTGGTGGTGTACAATGTCTTTACCCGAACAATCCCAGAAATGACGACTGTCTGAAACTGTTCTGGATATGAATGTGCCTGCCGTAAATGAAGCACTCACCAGCTGCGAAGGATCCATCGACAGTTACATCCAGAAGAACGTCCCGCCCAGATACCGGCAGTGGCAACGTGCCGCTCACATTCTTGGTCCCCGCTAGCCATTCCTCCAAGGCCTGCGAAGGGTAAAATGGAAAAAGCGAGGGTATTAGTAGTGACCATAGTGAGGCACAAGCCGCTTCCATGAACGGCTCTACTCTTTGAACAAGGTTATCAACCGCAATTTTGGGTATTTAGTATGCTCGTCTCATTTTCTGCAATGAGCATTGACAACCCCCAAAAATCAACATATTTTGTCTCTTCGTAAAAGTGTCGTGAAAAAAGTTTTGCTGTCAATGTGGAAGAACGCCACGTTTTTGCTGTAGCTCCGGCTCAAGGGCATAGTGCTTGGCCGGACTATGGTTATCAGACCTGGCAATTTGCTCACCTCTTCGCAACGTCGGCCATTGCTCACATGGGTGTAAGCGACGCTTTACATTGAGACGAAGGTGGCTATGCCATAAAGGCCATGTACACATTTCAAATTTGGTTACCCCAAGGAGCAATTCTGATCAGGATTACATTAATGCTGCGGAACGCATGCATCTACCCTCCTTATGCGTGTTCGAGCCATTGGTGTTTACGATGCAGGCAACTGCCATGGCCAAGGAAGGGCGGGCACTGTGGGGAACTGAACTCCGTTTCTCTGGTTTCCCAGGCACACAGCTTAACCACCACACCTTTGTCATCCCTGTCGAGTCAAGAACACCATTCTAATCAGTAGTTAGACTGGCCTGTCGCGACCTTTGCGTGCTGGTAACACACACGTAAGTGTAAAAAGTGTATTTCTGCTAGGCCATATTTATTGGCACTGGTATGAGCCGCCAGTGTGGTGGGTGGCAGCTCACACTCACCGCTCCCCTCCCCACCCCCACGGAGGGTATCTCCGTAGGTTGTTGACAGGGGGTAATAGATT